TCAGCCATCAGAAAGGATGAATACTTACCATTTACATTGACATGGATGGAACTGGAGGGTATTATGCTAAGCGAAATAAGTCAATTGGAGAAAGACAATTATCATATGATTTCACTGATGTGAAAATTAAGAAATAAAACAGGATCATAGGGGAAGGGAGGGAAAATAAAATAAGATGAAATCAGAGGGGGAGACAAACCATGAGAGACTCAATCTCAGGAAACAAACTGAGGGTTGCTAGAGTTGGGGGCGGTAACTGGGTGATGGGCATGAAGGAGGGCATGTGATGTAATGAGCACTGGGTGTTATATGCAACTGATGAATCACTGAACTCTACCCTGAAACCAATAATATGCTATATGTTAGTTAATTAAATTTAAATAAAAAAAATAAAATTGATAGAACATTCAAGTAAAAAAAAAAAGACTGATCAAGACTCAGATGGCAGGACAAATACAGTGTGATCTCTTTTACATACGGAATCTAAAAAAAATATATCACCTATCTATATCTATAAAACTGAGCTCACAGAGAACAGATTGGTGATTGCCAGAGGTGGAGGGTGGAGGGTGGGAAAAATGGGTGAACTGGGTTTTTTCTGTTTAAATAAACTGAATATAAGACATAAGAAATTAAAAAATAGAAAGTCTACTTCCTTACATACACATGTACATGTGTGTTAACAGAGAACGAACCTACAAACAAGACCTATGCGAGCACAAGACGTGCCTGAAAGCAGACGAGCCAGGGGGCAGTTCAGGAGGAGAGCGTCTGCCTGCACACGGGCATCTGATACAGGCACCCGGCTCCCAGCGCCGCTAGCTGAGTCACCTCAGCCTCCTCATCAGGGAAACGGGCTCCGAGGAGGGGCTGCCGGGGCGGGGCGGGCGCGCACCTCACCTCTGTGCGACCACCACCATCCTCCGGGTGTGAGGAGCCCTTCCCCAGGGAGCCAGCGCGCTGCCGGCCCCTTCCCACAGGGCATCGTCCCCCAATTCCATAAGATGCCTCGTGTCCACAGGCACTGTCTGTGACTCAGCCCCAACCCACAGGACCTCCCTGGACAGGGGTCAGCATACTTGTTCCATAAAGGGCCAATGAGAAACTACCTTAGGCTTCAAGTGCCATGTGTGGTCTGTCACACTCTTCTTTGCTTTTACAACCTGTTAACATGGAAAACCCACGCAGAGCTTGGGCTGCCCGACAGCAGGCTGCAGGCCGACCATGGCCCATGGCCATTATTTACTGACCAAGACTCATCAAAAAATACAAACTCGGGTGTGCCACGTGTCCAAGCTTGTTGCTGATTAAATGAGTCCTAGAAGCAGAAGCCCGGAGCCTTCCATCTGACTGAGGGAGTCATGAGACACATGCAGACCAAAGGGTGTTCTGCCGAATAGCAGGTCTGCACCCTTCCCAGGGGCCCACACCTAAGAGACAGGTCTCTCTGACTGGACCCCCCAGGGCAGCCGCGACAGACGACTTAGGACATGTCTGAGCCATCAGGCCAGGGGGCGAGCAGGGAACACCTGGCCCGGAAGGGGCGCTGCAGCCCAGCGTCTGCAACCACCCATCAAAGGCAAATGTCTACGATGGACATTCGCTGGTGGGCAGAAACGTATTTTTCAAAAAGTTTGGAATTTTGCAAGATAGAAAGTAGGGAAAA